CAAATGACATAGTTGAAAGATGTCATTTGCTTACTTCATTGGGTCAATGAGCTCCTGGAAAATCAATATAAAAACGTGCAGAGCCTTGATGAAGACCATAAGCAAACATGGAGTCTTCAAATAAGCTTATTTAGTAAGGAAATAAGCAAATAAAACAGCAAAATCCTTCCCCCCAAAATAAAAATATATAATAAAAAAATTCAAGACCTGAAATGAAAACCAGAAATAGAAGAAAAAAAAAAAAAAGATCTTCTAAAACTTACACTGATATTCTAAATAGGAAAGCCAATTCATTCTCACTCATTACACAGGATGTTAAAAGATTTCTTAACTCAATAAAGATGGTGACACCAACGGAGACACATTTTAGGACAAAACACACCAAGAGAAGCTTCAACAAATCATGTCCTTAAAATCAGCTCATCACACTCTTCCAGGAGTTACTCAACCACCAAAGCAGGTGAAGTTCTCCCACCATTAACCAACCTGCAAAGCCTAACTCTTCTCTCACAGGAGGTGGGCTGAGACAGGTAAGCCATGTATCAATTCCTAGGGGTCATCTGCGGTCTCAAGTGCAGTCTGTACCTCCTATCTGGGACATTTAGGACACACTAATAGACACAAGAAACCTACCGGTCATGGCCATCATTTTCATGATCACAGCAACGTGACGATGTTCACCTCACCAGAACCTTCTAGACCAGGGCCTCACCTGGTGGAACCTCATGTGCCTGCCTCCCCTGTTCCCACCTATGATTCTTGTTGTTGTTGTTAAGTACCGTGGAGTCGGTTCCGACTCACAGTCACCCTGCACAGGGTTTCCAAAGCTGTAAATCTTTACGGGAACAGAAAGCCTCATCTCTCTCCCATGGAACAGCTGGCAGTTTTGAACTGCTGACCTTAAGATAAGCAGCCTGATTTGTAACTGCTAAGCTACCAGAGCTACTTATGGTTCTTCTTAGACCTTCTTTAAAAATCAGAATCCGTGTTTTCCCCAATAAAAACTTTTTTTTTTCTAAAGGAAGTATATGCAGACAATAATCTGAGGTTTGGTGTTTTGAAAACTGTTTAGACCATAATAAACAACAGTTTCCAATTTTTTTTTTTTTTTTCTTAGTTTAAGGTTAGGGTGGGTTAAACACTGGGATGTTCACTGAAAGGTCAGCAATTCAAACACCAGCCACTCCTCAGAAATCCTATGTGGGTCGGTTATGAGCTAGAACCGACTCAACAGCATTTAACAACAATAACATCAATTCTATAAGTATAAATGCCTTAAAATTTTACGATAAATTTAACATTAAAAATAAATATTTTCTAGATGAAAGACAAGAGTTTCTCAGTCATTTTTATGGGCCAGGGGGACTGGGATTTGGCAGCTGTGGAGGTTGCCCTAAATCCCCAGCAGGGGGCCCTTAAGAACAACTAACCCTCAGAACCAGGCCATGAAGGAGGGAGAGTTCAGCAAGGCCAACAGAAGTCATTCCATTCTGAGGCTCAGTTTTTACAATAGCCCATGAGCAGTAAAAACCATACTTATCTCCTTTAAGCCTCTGAGCAGCCCAATACGGGAGATTCGCTTAAGACAACTTGTCCCAAGTCACACAACCAGCCATGGGTGGACCTGGTAGTGAACAGAGTTATCACTCCAGAGCCCACTCTGGTGTTCTAGGGCACTTTGTGGAGTAACACAGCATGGGATTGAGGCCCCACTCTTTACAGTGCATGAACATGGCCCATGGAGTATAGAAAGAACTCTGGTGGTACTGTGGGTTAGGTCCTGGGCTGATAATCGCAACGTTGTCAGTTCAAATCCACCAGACACTCCATGAGAGAAAGATAAGTCTGTCTGCTACCATATGGTTTCATCTTGAAAATCCTCTATGGGATTACCGAGTTGAAATCAACTCAATGGCAGTGGGTTTGGATTTGGGTTTGGTATGCTAGAAAGGAGCCTGGTGGCACAGTAGTTAAAGGGCTCAGGTGCTAACCAAAGGTCAGTTGTTCATGGGTAGCTCGAACCCTGCTTCCTTAAATTTATATCCTTGGGAACCCTATGGGACAGTTCTACTCTGTCCTTTCAGATCATTACAACTGAGAATTGCCTCACTGTCAGTGGGTTTAGGTTGTTTTGTTTTGGTATCCTAAAGGACTGGCCCTGTCATTATATAGAGGAGAACCAGAGGACAAGTGGCAACTCCTAACTATGGTGCCTACAGTCACTAAGTACCCTGGGAAATCAGAGAAAGGAGATTCAGTGGGAGCAAGCTGAACCAAAAACAATCCTGAAAACTGCTTCCAGTCAAACATCAAAACCCTGCAAAGAAAAGCGAAAGCAGGTGGGGAAAACAAGTGCTAGCAGATAGGAAAATATATTATTACTTTGGTGAAAACAATACTTTTTTTTTTAAGTATCACAAAGACTTAGAAAAGAGAGCTGGGAAGTCCAAGAAGTCCAACTTACCTCATAATAACTGTTGGGTAAATGGGATGGGATGATGATTCCTTGGTAGTTGCTTCTCATGGGCAGTGGTAGCAGAAATTTCCCTGAATAAGTAGGGAGGGAATACTTTCTTAGAAATGGCTGTAAATTCTGTTGTCTATCCATACGCCCTTCCCTGCCCCTCCCTTTTTATCTTAATATTTTTTTATAACACTGATTTTTACAATCCTGTACAAGGCTCAGAAACCCTATACAAGGTTGCTATGAGTCAGAACCAACTTGATGGCAATTAACAACAAATACAAGTCTACTCTTCTGTCTTTGAATATGAGATGCACCCATGAGTAATAAGAAAACAAAACTATGATTTGGAAGTGAGGAGAAAACAAACGGGATTTAGTAACAAACTGTTGTTAAAAGTCACATCCAACATGATACTGGAAGTTATGCCCCCAATATTTCAAATAGCATCAAGGTCACCCAAGCATCAACAGTGTTTCCATATGACACAAATATATATACATATATATAATGGTAAGTTTTTTTTTATATATACAAAACAAAAAACTACCATTATAATATTTAAGTGTATAATTCAGTGGTATTAATTACATTCAGCATTTTGTACAACTATCATCGCTATCTATTGCCAAAAGTTTTTCATCATCTCTTATATAAATTTCCACTCCCTGCACTCCCTAGCCTCTGGTAACCACTAATAAACATTTACCTCTATGCATTTGCCCATTCTAGATACATCATTTAACTGGGATTATACAGTATTTGTCCTTTTGTTTCTGACTTATTTCACTCAGCATATTTTCAAGGTTCATTTATGTCTAAAGTTGTATAACTTATTTTGGGGCTGAGTAACATCCCATTGTGTGTGTATACCACATTTTATTTATCCATTCATCTGTTGGTGGACACTTAGGGTTGGGTTGTTTCCACCTTTTGGCTATTGTAAATAATGATGTAATGAACAATAGTGTATGAGTTAACTATTTTAAAAATCAAATTTAATAGCATCCGTATACAATAGGGTTTGTGAAAATGAGTAAGACCCTCAAGGAGATGGACTGACACTGGCTGCAACAATAGAGGCAAACATAACAATTTTTGTGAGGCTGGTGCTGGGCCAGGCAGTAGTCTCTTCTGTTAAATAACACAGGGTCTCTATTAGTCAAGGAATGAGCTCTGGTAGCGTAGTGGTTACGAATCGGGCTGCTAACCTCAGGATCCTCAGTTCGAAACTACCAGCTGTTCCGCGGGAGAAAGATGAGGCTTTCTGCTCCCGTAAAGATTTACAGCCGCGGAAACCCTGGCGGAAACCCTGTACAGGGTCGCTATGAGTCGGAACCGACTCCACGGCACATAACAACAACAATTAGTCAAGGAGTCCTGGTGTGGCGCTGTGGTGTGGCGCTGTGGGTTAATGCACCAGACTGCAAAGCCGTTTGAACTTCAAGTTCTGCGGTTCTAGCTCACCAGCTGCTCCTCAGAAACCCTATACAGGGTCTTCTATGGGTCAGAACCAACTCAACGGCATTTAACAACAACAATTAGTCAAAACCAATTCAACGGCATTTAATGACAACAATTTCTTAAGTATTTAAATGGACAGATGGATGGTTGACTTAATTCTGCTTCGAAGCCAATTAGTTCTTAACAAGCTAATAATATACTTTCTTCATAATAGAAGTTGGTATCTTTCTCCACACTCTCAGAGTCACAATATTTAATGTCTTGTTAAACTTTGCTCAGTGTATACACACACACACACACACACACAAAGCCAGTTCCTACTCACAGTGACCCTGCATGAGGAGCAGCTGGTGGATTAGAACCACCGACTTTGCGGTTAGCAGGTTAGTACTTATCCTAGCACACCAGAGTCCCTAGTAAACAAATTGTTAGGTGTTTTCGAGTCGGTTTCTGGTTCCGACTCACCCTATACAGGGTTTCCAAGCGACTGATGGGTTTGAACTGTCTACCTTGCTTTTAGCAATCCTGTGCTTATCCTACAGCGCCACACTAGGACAAAACAAAAAAAGTCACCAGAATTTCTTGTCCACATTTTCCAACAGAATTCCCTTCCAGGAGTCTTTCTGGAATCTTCCTCTCCCACCTCCCCACCCCACCCCCGTCAGGGGCAGGTCCTCAGCCCCATTTCTCCGCTCACCTGCCTCCACCTGAGTCCAGCTGCCCCAGAAGGCTCTACCAACCCCTCACTCAGTCAAAGGTGTCCCCTTGACGCCTCCACCCTCCACCCTCCTGCCTTTGTCCACATGGACACCCGTGCCTTGTGGGCAACACGGGCCTGAGCTCCTCTTCTCCAATGTTCACACCACCCCACCGAGGTCGGCGCCAGAGCTGAGCTGAACACAGACCTTCGTGCCAGCCCCGCCTCCCTCCAGTCAGGCCTGCGTTCTCGAAGTTCCTACACCTCAGAGCCATTATTCCTGGGGGACCCTGCCCACAATGCCCTATCCACTCTGTCGGCCCTGCCTACTCCGGTCCATCTCTCAGAGCCCCACTTCAGCAGCGCCCTCACGTCTCACTCTGAGGAATCTGGTTCCTGAAGTGCCGCACCGCACGTCTCCCTCCGCCAGGGCCGGCCCTTCCGGGAAGAGGGCCCCGCCTCTCCACCAGAGAGCGTGAGACCCACCTTCCCGGCGCCCACCTGGGGACTGGGCACGCCCACCCGCTCGCGAAATCCGGAGCCTAACAGCCTCTAAGAAAAACTTCAACACCCGCGGGAGAGCATACCCACGGGGGCACTTCGGCTCGCTGAAGGGCAGAGAGGCCTGTAAAATAGGTTCTTTGCTAAACTGCTCTTTTAGCGCAGTAGGCAGCGCATCAGTCTCATAATCTGAAGGTCCTGAGTTCGGCTCTCAGAGAGAGCAGGACAAATATAGACTATCAGTGACGGCGTCAGAGGGACCTCCACAGGCCTAGTGTCCTCTCCTCCTCATCTAGCCAAGCCTTTCTAGTCACAAGAGACAGGTATCCATGGGATTTGGGCTGCCCAACAGGCTTTGTGACCGTGCTCAAAACACCACCTCCTGAGTTCTGGGACACGGAATCCCTCCCGCTGCAGCGATGACAGCTGTCACTGGGGACCCAGGCGTCCACGAACAACCGATCCAGGTTCTTGCGTGGCTGCCTCCAGTGTACGGGGTAAGTGAATGTTTACATCCATTACACAAACGGACCAACCTCTCTCGACAAGGCACACAAGTCCCAGCCCCAGGGAATGGCCATTGTACCTCTCCCACCATGAGAAAACACAATGTTGGCCCCGCTAAAGAATGAACTGCAAAGTGCAAGTTCCCTCAAAGTGCAAGTTCCCGGACAGTACTTGATACTATCAGATTTGGGTGTGGGAGAGGCTGTTTTTCAGTCTCATTGATTGGTTCCCTAGACTGTCCTAGGAAACCCTATACAGAGTTGCTGTGAATGGGTACATGATTCAACACCATGAGTCAGATTGGACTAGATGGCAGTGGGTTTGTGGCTAAAGACTTTTCTGGAAGGTAAATCTATTTCAGACAAAGGTGATCTGGAATCAGTAACTACTTTTTCTTACCACTGACCTGCCTGATCACCTTTATGGACACACAAAAAAAATCAGACCATGTAAAGGTAAAGAAGGAAAGAGTACATTTGAGATCTCATTTTTTCAATGCCTGGCCCAGTGGAATAGATCTGTTGACCTCTACCTATTCTTAATCCACCCCCATTGTTTTCCAGTGAATTCTCCTGGATGCTAACTACTTACAAGATGTAGTGGCCTGCTGACTATAGAAGGGGTCAGCAAACTACAGCCAGTGGGTGCAGTCTGACTCACTGCCTGGCTTGTACAGCATGGTCTTTGAAAACAGACTCATTGGGTTATGTACTATGCATGCCACAAGAGTTGATAACTGAGACAGAGATCTATGACCAAGCTTAAAACATTTACTGGAGTCCTGGTTTGGTGCTGTGGGTTAATGTACTGGATTGCAAAGTGGGTTTGAACTGCAAAGTCGGTGGTTCAAGGTCACCAGCCACTCCTCGGAAACCCTATACAGACTCACTCTGGTGTAGAACCCAGTCAACAGCACTTAACAAAAAAATTTTTACTAGGAGTTCTGGTGGTACAGTGGGTTAAGCATTGGGCTACTAACCAGAAGGTTAGTGGTTCAAACCCACCAGTCACTACTTGGGAGAAAGCGAAGTTGTCTGGTCCTTTAAAGGTTTACGGCCTTGGAAACCATTTCTGTGGAGCAATTTGAAAGTCTATGGAACAGTTCTCCTCTATGAGTCAGCATTGACTGTACAGTAAAGGGTTTTCAACAGTGGGAAATGCTTAAAAGAGCGTAACTAGTAACAAATAGGCCCTGATTTACAACAGCTCAAATACAATAGTGGGTTATTTCTCTGTAAAGTTATAGTCCAAAGTGGGATTTCAAAAATCGTCTGATAAAGTGAGTTTGTGTGAAGTGGCAGTTTCCATCACCAAATTACGTCACACATCTTCGTTACCTAGTGCCGCTGTTTAAAAATAAAAAAATTTTAACAAGAATTCATTTTTTCAAAGTTTTAGAGGCTAAAAGGTTCAAATGAGTATCTTGGCCAGTAACAGTTTCTTCTGTGAATTTCTCTCTAGTTTCTAGTGTCTTCCAGTGATCCTTGCCATTTCTTTGCTTATAGGTAGGGTCTCATAGTCTCTCTTTCTCCTGGGCGTCTGTTTGTTTTGCTCCTTTTATAACTCAGAAGTAATTAGAGTTCTAACCCACCCTTCTCAATCATGACTTCATGAGAATAACAAATCCCTCTTTCAGAACAGAGTCTCCTCCATTGATGCAGGGGGCAAAACTTCAGTACATTTTGTGGGGAGCATAATTCCATCCATAACCAAATCCAACAGAGAGAAAGAAGTCAGCTTCAAGGTATGATTAGTCTAGCTCATGGGAGTTTTAACCTGTATCAAGAGTTGATCTTTCATGGTCTCTCTATTCCCTGATACATTCTGAAAGTATCTATGTGTACATGCCTTTTCTTGAGCTCTTTTTGATTCAAAAAACGGTTACCAACAAGACTGCAGGGTCTGAAATTCCCGCAGTTTGCTGAGTAGGGGGCACGAGCAATCCATGACAATGAATTTGTTACTTGAAAGAACTGGCCACATAGTCCAGCCATTTGGTTTTGCTTTGCTCTTTTATTCATTACAAAGGTCAGAAATCAGTGGTAGAAAAATACAGCAGAAAGCCCCAGGGCACATAGTAAACCTGGGTGTGCAGTCTAGGTGGGCAGAGGGGAGACAGAATGCTGAAGGTGTCTAGCATTTGGAAGTCTTTGTCTCAGGCGCATCTGGCCTTCTAGGGCCTCCACTGGCATGGCCACTGGCATGTCACCCTCAGTACATGAACTGGTACACAGTAGCACTGTCCTTGGAGCCCGTAATCAGATACTGGTTGTCAGAGGACACATCACAACACAGGATTTCTGAAGACTCCTCTACCTAAGGAGAAAGAGGGAACCAGAGTGACACTGTGCAGGCAAGACAAAGCCAGGCACAAAGCCTTCTTTTAGGGCTGTTGCAAGAGCTTACCATAGACTAAAGATGGTCGGGAGACAGGAGACAACTCCCCAGATGTTAGCCTAGGGAGCCCGTGAGTTCACAGACCCTGAAATCCCATTCCTCCCAATTGATAAAGTGCCATCTTAGGTGTCCAGCAGTATCTCTGGGATCCAGCCATCTGGGATCTAGGAATATCAGTACTGAGTACCTGGGTTTATACATCCTCCTTTTAGTACCTGAAACAATCTCCGGAGAGAAGGTGCCTCCAAGCTGTAGATGAACTCGTCCATTGTGATCACTAAATGGCTCCCTAGTGAAGGTAAGAAGGAATGGAAAGCCAGAGACCAAGTCTGCATTTTAGTCCTGCTCTGCCGCTGGCTAGACTGGGGAAAGGACAAGGCATTGTCTACCTTAGTTTCCCTATCCATAAAAATCAGAGACACGACCTGAACCATTCCCTTATGTCCCCTCTCTTAACTACACTCAGGACTATGGTTATCATTGAACAAAAGAACAAACCACTGGGCCTGTGGCTCTCATGTCGGCCTGCATTGTTACGTTCTGGGTAGGAAGGTACTGCTTATATAGAGAGCCAGAAACGCAAAGGCGAATGAGTAGAGAAAGAAAATAGAAAACGCCACTGTGAAAGGAGAAAATGTTGGTGAAGGAGGAGGAGGTAAAGGGTGGGTCAAGTGGCCATCTGGATCTTTATTTGACCAGTGTCGGGGATGAAGGAAGAATTAAGAGCCTAAAGTCAAGCTGGGCTCAGACTCGGGAAGGAGGTTCAAAGTAGGACATCTTCAGGTGTCACCTGGCTTCTCACTCACCACAGGAAGCAAACTTGAGGTTGTAGTGGTGTGTGTCTCTTAACTGCATGTTCATCTTAAACTTCTCCTCCCGAAAAGTGTGCAAGATCATTACATCACTATTTCTCAAGCCTACTAACATCCACTCCTCACTGGGATCATGGGCAATGCCAATGATCTGTTTGGAAGAAGGTATGGAGTCAACACTCAAAGATGCCAATGCCATCATGCCTAGCTCATCAAACCTGTCCCAATCCTGCCTTCATTCACATTTCTACTGGGGGTGGAGCCTGGCCCCAACCGTAACCACCCAGGTACCTCATGTTGCAATTCATACTCCTGGAGTTTCTGGTAGGTCCTCAGATCCCAGGAATACAGGGTGTTGTCTTCCCCTCCTGTCCAGAATTTACCAGCTGCGATGTCAACACATCTGGACCCATATACAGGGACTTGGTGTGTCCTGGTAGGAAAATGACTCAGAGGTTGGTCTGGGTCTGAGCCTTGGAAGGTTTAGGACCAGGAACCCCTACGAATATCTCAGATACAGTCAAGGTTGACCTGCCTTTCTCTATTGCACAGGGAGGAAAGGAAGGTCCAGAGGGGAACATGTGCTTTCCCAAAGCCTCACCATCAAGCCTTCTTCCCCCAGTTGCACCCAAGGGTCTGGGAGAGAGAGATTTTACCTGATCAAGATTTGGTTCTGCAAATCCCAAATTTCAACAAATCCTTGGAAACAAGCCACACAAATCTGAGCATCAGAGGAGATAGCCAGGGACGAGCACTTGATGCCCGTAGAGGCCAGCTGTGCCCTGATGTGGGGTGTAGGTGCCAGATCCCAGAGAGTCAAGCTTCGGGACAGACCTCCTGTGATCAATCTCTGCTCATCAGGGAACAGCTTGCAGGTGAGGACGCAGTTATGACGGTCCTGTAAGCATGGTTCACATTCTTGTATCACTTGGGAATCCCCAAGCCCTACTTAAATACCCCCTCACCTGAAATTCCAGCTGGTCCAGAGGCGTCTTGTCCCAAGCATGCAGGGCACTCTCATCCCACACCTTCATGTAACGGGAGTCGCATGTGTACACATGTTGGGTATAGCGACTGATGGCCAAAGCATAGACTCTCCTCCCATGGTAGAGTCTGCCAATCTTCCAGTACGCACGTGGGACCTTCGGCCTGACCACTACTTCACCTGGAATTGGGGGCTGGTAATAAAAGAGGCATGGCTTGGCCTCCATTATCCAGGGCATCCTGCCCCTCTAGTCCCTACTGAATTCCTAAGTCATTCAACAAATAGCTCCTCTGCAACCTCAGGCAGCATTGCCATGTCTTTGGGCTCCTGAGACCATTGAATATCCCTCTGCTGTAGCCCAGGTTGTGCCCAGGTTCTCTCCCTGATCAGCAGAGCCGCATTTTCAGACAATTCTGAAAGCCAGCAATCAGTGGAGTCTGACTGATATCTTCATGGGCAGCCCCCTAATTGAGAAATGGGAAGCCATCGATAGAGGATGAGGGGATGAGGGAAGTCTGGTTCAAAAGAAGCCAGAGCCCCAGGCTCTATACCCATAGAAGAGAGAATGGGAACTCACATGCACTTAATTGTGTCACCAAAAGTACGTCTTGGAATCCTAACCCCTTACCTATGGATGTAATTCTGTTGGGGAATAGGGCCTTGTTCTGTTGATGAAGCCATGTCAGTGTATCCTAAACCTAATCACTTCTGAGTTATAAGGAACAGCATAGACAGAGAGAAGAAAGCACAAACTGGGGGTTGGAAGTTAAATGTCCCAAGAAGATCATCAGCAGAGCTACCAGAAGCTGAAACTAGCAAAGCACCTCCTTCTAGACCCACACTCTGAATTCAGACTTGTAGCCTCCTGAGCTGGTTGAAAACACGTTTCTATTTGAAAGCCATCTACTTGTTTATCTGTTACAACAGCATCAGGAACCTGAGACACAGACACATTCATTCTAGTGGGGTTTTCTTGGATTCTGTTTTAAACACAGGGCTGCTCACCCTCCCCTACCCATGGATCTAGTGGTTTCTTACTCAGGGAGCAAAGAGGGAAGGGAAGAAAAGGATGCCAAATTTGAGAAATAAGACACTCACAAGTGTTCTGAGGAGTAACTGGCCTTCTGTGGAAGGAAGCCAGGAGCCAGGCTGACCTGCAGAGGAATATAAACACCCATATAGGCAGCAGGTCACAGGGCGTCTGGCAGTTACAGAATCATATGATTCAGGAGGCTTGTCTCCTGGCACTAGTCACCCATCCTAGCCCCCTCTCAAGGGGCAGGCAGTGGACCACCTGCACCCATCCCAGCCTGTACTTACTATACTCCGATCCTGGCAGGAAGCTGTAAGAATTGGAAGAGAGAGAAGAAGGTAGAGCATCAAATGGGTTGCTTTGTGCTGGGATCCACTCTTCCCCAGGGCAATTCCCTGCTCCCCACCGAGGCTACCTCAAGGGAGACCTACCTTGCACCAGACTCTGTTGCTTCTCCTGGTTCTGCAACAGAGAAACTTGGGGCCTGGGTCTCAGATGTCTCTAGGGTCTGGAAGGCCCACTGTTGCTGGGCCCCAGAGTCTACATCATGGTAAACCAGGCCATGCTGCGATGAGGGGCCTGGGAGCTGCTGAGACATACTGCGCGGACTTAGCAGTTGGTACAGTATGGATTGTTCATGCTGGGAGGAAACGCCAGAACTGCCTGGCACATCCCTCCTTTCCTCTGGGTCACCATAAACCCTGGGTGCCTCTTCCTTCTCTCCACTCATGTTCTTTAGATCAACAAAATGCCTGAGTCCTAGGGCTTGAGAAATGGGGCTGTCAGAACAGATTCAGTATGCATATCTATTGTTTGGATTGTATTTAGAAGGATCAGAAAATGCCTCCTTTAGGAAGAAGATTCAAAAGATGTATTGCCAAATAATTTTTGACACTAAGTATTGGTAGCAACAATGTTAGGAGCGAAGGTTCTACAATGACATTTTGAGATATTAGTTCCAGAGGTTATGTTTCCCTTTTAGACACATTGAGTGCATTTTGTTGTTGTTCTTAATGCCGTCAACTCAGTTCCAAGACTTTAAATCTTCACAGGAGCAGAAAGCCTCGTCTTTCTCCTGAGGAGCGGCTGATGGGCTCAAACCACAGGCATTTTTGGCCATGTGAAATCAGCACACCCTTTAATCTGGCTGTATACCTTTCAAGTGAGAGGACTCATCGTCAAAGTAAATAAAACCAAAGGCAACAAGCTATTTTCCACACATATCATGAGGCCTTTTGTCCCTAGAGGGGACAGCATGGAGGAACCTGAAGAAGTCATGCAAATATGAGGGGACTTCAAAAAGCTTGTGGAAAATTGGAATTAAAAGTTACGTAATAGAATTTTTTGACAAACTTCTTTGAAGCCCCCTCAAATCATTTGATCTAGCAGTTCCCCTCTTAGAAATCTATCCCTTATCGGTAACAGAACCAGGAACTGCATATACCTACACCAGGATGTTTCATTCAGCATTGCAAAGAAACCCATGAATCTGGAGATAATCAGATTGCTCTTTCCTAGGGAGACAGTCCAATATATTTCTGTTGTTAAGTGCCATCGAGTCGGTTCTGACTCATATCGGCCTTGTATAGGGTTTCTGAGACTTTTCAAATCTTTGTGGGAGCAGAAGATTTTAAAAGCCTAAAGGAGGCTTTCTGTGATCTTTGTACATCCTTCTCCCTCAGAGTGGCTGGTGGGCTCAAACTGACCTTGTGGCTCACAGTCCAGTGCTTATCCTATGAAGCGACCATGCTCCCCATGTATGAATATAGTGGAGAGAAAAGGAAATGGGATTGAAAATAAAAACTTCTGGCATACGGCCCAGGAAGAGGCAGGAAGGATGGTCAACAAAAATCGCAAAAATATCTGAGTCACGGCATTTTTTACTTTGTTCTTCATACTTTCTTGAATTTGATTTATAATAATAAACTGGGGGAAACTATGCTAATTGAGGAGTCCTGGTGTGGTGATGTGGGCTAATGCATCAGATTGCAAAGTCGTTTGAACTGCAAGGTAAGTGGTTCAAGCTCATCAGCTGCTCCTTGGAAACCCTATACAGGTTTGCTATGGGACTGAATCAATTCCACGACACTTCACAACAATATGCTAATTAAGAGTGAGAGAAAAAGATAAAAGTCATGCAGTTTGTTGTTGTTAAGTGCCTTCTAGTCAGTTCTGACTCAAAACAACCCTGTGTAGGGTTTCCAAGGAACAGCTGGTAAGTTTGAACCTCCGACCTTGTAGTTCAAACCGATCTTGGATCCAGCGCATTAATCAATCAATAAGATGGGGAGGTGGGAAGCTGGTGAGAACTGAGTGATAAAGCAAGATACTCACCCACAAGCATGCACGCACAAACACACACACACATGCACACCTCAGGGGGGAGCCATGCAGAAGGACCTAATGTGAATGGCGACACCATGCACAACCCATGTGACCAGATGCAGCAGCATGGCAGTCCTCTCGTCCTGACCTCCCAGACTTTCTTCATTCCATCGCTCAACACGACCCAAGTTCTAAACCCAGCTTCTCAGCTCCCTCTGTGCTTTTTATTCCTTCTCAAACTGCCCACACACCACCATCACATCCTGCCTCCTTCCCAGGATCACTTACCCAATACGCAAGGTGCACATGGCTTTAACTGTGCTTAGTTAACAATTAGTTAGTAATTGTGATTACATACTTAACAAGTTCACCTGGGTTTCACCACGTCTTTGCCATGTGAAACCCAAGTGAAATTATTCAGTACAGATTAGTTAAGTAAGCACAAGTATGCCCTTTGTTATTAAGTGCCTTCAAGACAGCTCTGACTCATATGGAGTTTCTAAGGCTGTGCATCTTTGCAAGAGCAGAAAAGTCTCATCTGTCTCCTACAGAGTGGCTGGTGGGCTCAAACCACTGACCTTGTGGGTTCACAGTCCAGTATTTATCCTCTGGAGCTACCATGCTCCAAATTATGTCCCTGTTGTTGTTAAGTGCCTTTGAGTCGTTTCCAACTCATAGTGACCCTGTATAGGGTTTCCAAGGAGCAGCTGGTAAGCTTGAATCGACGGACCTTGTAGTTCAAACAACTTTGCAGTCTGACACATTAGCCCACAGCTCCACGCCAGGACTCCCTACATACCGGTTAATCCACCCCTGCAGCCTCCCTCTACTCTTCAGAATAGGAAACCAGTCTGAGTTTCTTACCAGTCCCTAGGGCACAGCAAGAGGTGTTTCAGACAAACTCTTTCCTCTGTCAGCTCTTATCAGTGCCCCTAACACCCTCACTCAAATGCTCTCTCCATTTAATGTCCCCTCAAGGCCAAGCTGTAACCAACAAAGGGCAATGGGGTGCTGCCTATCATAATTAACAATGCAAGTAGAAACCTTTTTGCACTTCCATTTTTAGAAGCTTATCCTATAGTGCACTTTGTTGTTGAGTACCATCTAGTGATTCAGCGACCTGGTATAGGGTTTCCAAGGAGCAACTAGTGGATTTGAACAGACTTACATTCTAGTGCTTATCCTACCAGGTGCACTTGGATATATGCAAAATAACAAATATACAAACTGAAACATTAAAGCATTTTTTTTGTGATAGCAGATGATTGGCCAAAACCCAAATGACCTTGGGGTAGAGAGGGTGGTGGAGTGGGCTGGTGAAGTAGATCTCACTATAGGCGGCTTCAAAATTTCCTGGAAAAATGAGGATAAAAGATAATGGAATTTTTCCACTAAGTTTTTGAAGCCCCTTTGTATATTCCTATAGAGGAATACTCTGCAGCTTTTAATAATAAAAGGACATAAGCATTGATATGAAAAAATTCAACGTGTATTAATAGTGTTCAAAACAATGTGCTTCTAATGCAGTGTGTGTAAAAGAAGGCAGGACAGAGCATCTATCTTTGTAAGTGTTTGTACAGACATAAGAAATTAAGAGTGATTCTATAGAGAATGGAAATTATGTAACTCTCTATAGTGTTTTAACCTAGCTTAAATAGTTATTAGATCTTGAGCCTTCTCAGCCAAGTACTTTCTCATAGCCCCGCAAATGCTAATTCAAGGACCTCATGATTCTAAGCTAGATGTTCACATTATTCAACAATGTCTCCCTAACACACATCAGGCCTTCTTACAGAGTTCCCCACGGCTGACTCAGCTCTAC